TTTCTTTAATAAACTATTGATCCTCTGAGGCTAAATTATGCTCTCTGGTGTATTTTGTACATTGAGTGGGCTCCTGTGGTTAGATAAAAAATATATAATAAAATACATGTATTTCTTCCCTCTTGGGCCCCCTACGGGTTTGGGCCCCTTACTCACACAATTGACCATTCACATTTTATTTATTATGCAGTATTTTTGTTGTTGTATTAATCAGTTACCCAATCAAGGCAGGGCCCCCCAGTTACCCATGTGGGCCCCCTACCTCCTCTCCCCATCTGATGATTAGCAGAGCGGCAGCAGCAGGCTGTGTACACTCATTGAGAGCGGGCTCCTAAGTTGTCCTGTGGTTGACGGTTGCAGTAAAAAATACAAAATATATCCTATATATCAGTGGTGGTCAGTGCCGTTTAAGATGAGGGAGGAGGATTTTTTTTTTTATGAGTATGGCCTTATTTCTATTACAGCATATTGGATGACTGTCATTCATATTCAATTTCCTCAACCCAATGGAACATTGATAGGTTTAGGCTACTACATGATACTCAATTTCCCTGTAGCCAGGGGCGCAACTTTCACTGGGGATGGGGGGACACTGGGGACTGGGGGGATTTTTGTTTATCCCCCCCAGTCTTATCATTGGAATGTGATACAAAACGAGGCAACGGTGTGCTTTAGGACCATGCGGACGCCTCTGAGCGGTCGAGTAGGCTGTTTGGAGTGTTTATATATAGAATAATAAAAAATATATAGAATTATGCCCCCCCCCCACCCCCACACTTCTAAAACCAAAGTTGCTCCCCTGCCTGTACCCATCATGAGGTTGCGACAACTGAGCCTACGAATGAGCGTTTACAACGTAGGTGCACAGGTCGAGATAATTGAGTAATCAAGGTGACAGTGACACATTAAATACCTCTTTGCACACTCTTGCCTGCATTTAGCTGATCTAGGGTGTCATAATTATTGAAACACTTGCAAATTAGAGTTTCTTTTGGACAAATTCAGGCATGTTTATCCCCGTTCCTTTGCTTCCGTTGAAGAAATGTTTTTCAACAGAATCAGCGGAATGAATACACCCCTGATCACACGCAAGCAGTTCACTTTCATAGCAGCCACATAAAAACAGCATGATCACTTTGCTCGTTGTATATGTAATTCCTTCTCGCAACTATCTACGCACTCGCCTCCTCTCACCTTTTCACTTCGCTTGTTGACTTTAGTGCAGAACACAACAGCTGTCTGTGACCAGGCAAAAAAAACTTTACAATCCAAACTTTCATATCATGACTGCTAACCTCTACATACAGCTTACATAGTTGTCACATCATAGTCAACAAGAACTACTAGAATTAACACGTTAGGAATCATGTAGTACAGTGTACAGTCAGAAGCAGTTACACCGGCAGGCCTGTTGGCAATAAATTACCTTGACTTGGAAGACTTCCAGTGTTGGATGGCCATAGCCAGCTAGCTAACATAGCATCCCTCTCTGTTTGAGCCGGGTGTTTGAGTAGGCTAAACTAACTAGCTGCATTTGCAAGCTAAGTGAAAGTAAAAATATTACAACCAAATAGAGCTCTCGCTCTCTCTCGCTTCTTCTGAATTTTGGAAGAAATTAATTAGTTTGAAACTGTTCAACCATTGTCTTGCTCTCTTTGAGTCAACTACTCACCACATTTTATGCACTGCAGTGCTAGCTAGCTTTAGCTTATGCTTTTAGTACTAGATTCATTCTCTGATCCTTTGATTGGGTGGACAACATGTCAGTTCACGCTGCAATAACTCTGATAGGTTGTAGTACGTCCTCCAGAAGTTGTCATAATTACTGTGTAAGTCTATGGAAAGGGGTGAGAACCATGAGCCTCCTAGGTTTTGTATTGAAGTCAATGAACCCAGAGGAGGACAGAAGCTAGCTGTCCTCCGGCTACACCATGGTGCTACCCTACAGTGCTGCTGAGGCTACTCTAGGCCTTAATTGCAAAACAGTGTGTTTTAGTCAATTATTTGGTAACATGAATATACACTGCTCAAAAAAATAAAGGGAACACTTAACAACACATGCTAGATCTGAATGAATGAAATAATCTTATTAAATCATTTTTTTCTTAACATAGTTGAATGTGCTGACAACAAAATCACACAAATATGATCAATGGACATCAAATGTATCAACCCATGGAGGTCTGGATTTGGAGTCACCCTCAAAATTAAAGTGGAAAACCACACTACAGGCTGATCCAACGTTGATGTAATGTCCTTAAAACAAGTCAAAATGAGGCTCAGTAGTGTGTGTGGCCTTCACGTGCCTGTATGACCTCCCTACAACGCCTGGGCATGCTCCTGATGAGGTGGCGGATGGTCTCCTGAGGGATCTCCTCCCAGACCTGGACTAAAGCATCCGGCAACTCCTGGACAGTCTGTGGTGCAACGTGGCGTTGGTGGATGGAGCGAGACATGATGTCCCAGATGTGCTCAATTGGATTCAGGTCTGGGGAATGGGCGGGCCAGTCCATAGCATCAATGCCTTCCTCTTGCAGGAACTGCTGACACACTCCAGCCACATGAGGTCTAGCATTGTCTTGCATTAGGAGGAACCCAGGGCCAACCGCACCAGCATATGGTCTCACAAGGGGTCTGAGGATCTCATCTCGGTATCTAATGGCAGTCAGGCTACCTCTGGCGAGCACATGGAGGGCTGTGCGGCCCCCCAAAGAAATGCCACCCCACACCATGACTGACCCACCGCCAAACCGGTCATGCTGGAGGATGTTGCAGGCAGCAGAACGTTCTCCACAGCGTCTCCAGACTCTGTCACGTCTGTCACGTGCTCAGTGTGAACCTGCTTTCATCTGTGAAGAGCACAGGGCGCCAGTGGCGAATTTGCCAATCTTGGTGTTCTCTGGCAAATGCCAAACGACCTGCACGGTGTTGGGCTGTAAGCACAACCCCCACCTGTGGACGTCGGGTCCTCATACCACCCTCGTGGAGTCTGTTTCTGACGGTTTGAGCAGACACATGCACATTTGTGGCCTGCTGGAGGTCATTTTGCAGGGCTCTGGCAGTGCTCCTCCTTGCACAAAGGCGGAGGTAGCGGTCCTGCTGCTGGGTTGTTGCCCTCCTACGGCCTCCTCCACGTCTCCTGATGTACTGGCCTGTCTCCTGGTAGCGCCTCCATGCTCTGGACACTACGCTGACAGACACAGCAAACCTTCTTGCCACAGCTCGCATTGATGTGCCATCCTGGATGAGCTGCACTACCTGAGCCACTTGTGTGGGTTGTAGACGCCGTCTCATGCTACCACTAGAGTGAAAGCACCGCCAGCATTCAAAAGTGACCAAAACATCAGCCAGGAAGCATAGGAACTGAGAAGTGGTCTGTGGTCACCACCTGCAGAACCACTTCTTTATTGGGGGTGTCTTGCTAATTGCCTATAATTTCCACCTGTTGTCTATTCCATTTGCACAACAGCATGTGAAATTTATTGTCAATCAGTGTTGCTTCCTAAGTGGACAGTTTGATTTCACAGAAGTGTGATTGACTTGGAGTTACATTGTGTTGTTTAAGTGTTCCCTTTATTTTTTTTGAGCAGTATATTTAGTATAGTTTTATTTGGAAACGTTAACTTTTCTTAATGTTTCAATATTTAGATTTTAATTACATTCACTGAGGATAGTCCTCCCCTTCCTCCTCTGAGGAGCCTCCACTGCTACATATATAATAAATACTGTATATATACTGTATATATTTCCTTTATAATTTGTTATAAATAGTAATAATAGTAGTATCATTTTTGCTTCCTCTTGGGCCCCAAACAGACATGGGCCCATGTGCTTCAGCCCCAGTGCGCCCCTGCATTAATCTGGCCCAGTTGGCAGACAAATGAATATAGAAATGTTATGAGATCGAAGAGTAAAGGCTTGCCCTTTTTGGGTGTGAATACAGAAAGAAACATTAAGACCGAATTGGGCAACTCCAGGCTGTGCTGTAGAGTGTACATACACTATATATACAAAGTATGTGGACACCCCTTCAAATTAGTGGATTCTGCTGGTTCAGCCACACCCGTTGCTAACCGGTGTATAAAATCAAGTACACAGTCATGCAATCTCCATAGACGACACATTGGCAGTAGAATGACCTAACTGAAGAGCTCAGTGACTTTCAACGTGGCACCGTTATAGGATGCCACCTTTCCAACAAGTGAGTTCGTCAAATATCTGCCCTGCTAGAGCTGCCCCGGTCAACTGTAAGTGCTGTTATAGTGAAGTGGAAACATCTAGGAGCAACAACGGCTCAGCTGCGAAGTGGTAGGCCACACAAGCTCACAGAACGGACCGTTGAGTGCTGTAGCGCGTAAAAATCGTCTGTCCTCGTCCTCGGTTGCAACACTCACTACCGAGTTCCAAACTGCCTCTGGAAGCAACGTCAGCACAAGAACTGTTTGTCAGGAGCTTCATGAAATGGGTTTCCATGGCCGAGCAGCCGCACACAAGCCTAAGATCACCATAAGCAATGCCAAGTGTCGTCTGGAGTGGTGTAAAGCTCGCCGCCATTGGACAATAGTTTGGGGAAGGCCCTTTCCTTTTTCAGCATGACAATGCCCCGGTGCACAAAGAGGGGTCCTTACAGAAATGTTTTTTTGAGATAGGTGTGGAAGAACTTGACTGGCCTGCACAGAGCCCTGACCTCAACCCCATCAAACACCTTTGGGATGAATTGGAACGCCAACTGTGGGCCTAATCGCCCAACATCAGTGCCCGACCTCACTAATGCTCTTGTGGGTGAATGGAATCATGTCCCCACAGCAATGTTCCAACAAGATTGGAGGCTGTTAGAGCAGCAAATGGGGGACCAACTCCATATTAATGCCCATGATTTTGGAATAAGTTGTTCGAAGAGCAGGTGTCCACATATGTATGTTTGTTCCAGCACTAACACACTCAATTCAACCTCTGGATTGTTGTTCATAGGAGAACTGTCACTGTCTTCCTTTCTTCAGACTGAGCGAGGGGAGTGGCAGCAGTTCCAGTGTGACCTGCAGGTGGCAGTAGCAGTGGCCGACCGGCTGAGGGCCGAGGCCGAGGAGGAACTGGGCGTGTTCAGAACGGCTCAGAAGGATACAGAGCGGGAGCTGGCGGTTGCCCAGCAGCGAAGGAAAGAGACTGATGGGCAGCTGGTCATCTTGAGAGGAGAGTTGAGGGAGAGCAGGCAGAGACTGGCCGACCTCACCCAGAACCAGGGGCCAGGACAGGCCAAGACCCAGAGCCAGGAAAAGACCCGGGGCAAGGAGAGGATGATTGGGGAGATCAGCACACCTGAGCCCCAGGAGGGGACCCACCGGGGAAGGGAGAGGGGGCTCAGTAGGGTGGGCCAAGGAGTAGGAAGAGGAGATGAAGAGATGGAGAAGAGGAGCCAGGAAGAAGTTACTAAGAATGTGGTTGTGGAAGAGGCTCGGATGGACACTAAGGGCGTGGCCAACCGGTACTTGATGAATGTGACCAATGAAGAGAGGAGTGGAGAGGAGGGGTGTGATGTGAGGGAGACGCGACGGATGGTCACACAGGAGAGGTCAAGGTGAGTACCTGTTTGTATGATTTCAACTATACATTAACTTAAATAAATGTAATGAAGGTTAATGTCCATGATTTATATAGCTGGCTATTCTAGCAAAATCCAGACGGATTTTGGACTGCTATAATTTGTAAATCAAAAACCGAGCATCATAATCAGATGAATCGGTGTCAGGAGGGTTAAGCGGTCTTTGGAATGGAAGAGACATTCACAGGCAGGGCACTTGACGACATTGATTTGTAAAGAACCATTTTAAAACGGATTTTACTACTGGAACTGAAGGGGAAAGCTAACTGAGAATAAAGCGTATCAACAACGGTTAGCTTTGCTGTCATGTCTGACCCCTGATGAGCTGAACAACAAATTATTTTCTGAGCAGTGTGTCTGTGTGAGTTGAGTTCATCCAATAATATCAAAGCGCATTCCATGATTTCACAGAAGCCTTTCCAGACTACCTGTGTCTTCAGACTCCCCCACTGTACAGAATGGAACATCCCAGTCCAATACTGCCACAATTGCTGGATCTACAAACAAGGTGAGACCACTTAGAATTTTGGGTCGAACTGCTTATCTGTGTGTCATACCTCTGCAAATATAGAACCATTACTATTCCAGCAGGTTGCGTCATTACAATAGTTAGAATGTGTTTTGTGATCTACTAATGTCTTCACATGTTTTTGAAATATTGAGGAACATTCAATAACATTTAAGGAATGTATGGTACAGTATGTAATAGCATATGAATAGAAAATGTTTATGTTCTCTCATTTCAGAACCAAAGCCAAACCAGAGGAAGAAGAGGGTTGGAAAGGCAAGACAGCTGGTCCAGCACTCACACAGGTGTGTGTGTGTGTTCCCCAATCAACCACGTTTCAGTGCATTCATCTTACCATGACCATCTGACCCTGTGATCAGTAATGTAGCAGGTAAAATACATTATACTATCATTTGTGTGTTTTACAGGGAAACAGGAGGAAGCATTGAACCAGTACAACTCTGCCCTGACAGACCTGCCCCCTAACAAGACTTCTAAGACCAGGTCTCAGGATGGCTTCAGTCTGCTGCTACGCCGGCATGGCGGCTCCAAGAGGAACTCTCTGCTGCGCTGGTGTCAGAACCGTACTCAGGGCTACAAGGTACTGTAATGCTGTGTGTGTGTGTGTGTGTGTGTGTGTGTGTGTGTGTGTGTGTGTTGAACAGGGTCAGGAGAAAGGACGCTTGGAGACTCTGATGTAAAGAGAATGTTGAGCATTCCATATGTAATCAGTAAACACTCATTAGCATGGTTTCTTGACCCTTTTTCTGCCCCCGCTCACTCTATTGACAGAATATTGACATCACTAACTTCAGCAGTAGCTGGGCGGATGGTCTGGCCTTCTGTGCTGTGTACCACAGCTACCTCCCCTCACACATCCCCTACTGCACACTTAGCCCTGACAGCAAGGTGGGTAACACAGACATGCATACACACTTGCATTCATTGCACACACACCTATTGATTTGCCTGTCAAACATGGTGCTGGTTCTTTTATCCATAGAGGGAGAACCTCAGCCTGGCATTTAAGATTGGAGAGAATGTTGGAATCACAACATCACTGGTGAGTCGAGTCTCCTTTAATCAGAAGCTGTGTTAGTGTCAAGATTGTTGTATGCTTGTATCAAAACTCAATAGTGAATGAGATGCTGCCGTATTGAAGTCCTCTGTGTTTTACAGACCATGGAGGAGATGCTGAGGGCTGGAGGACCAGACTGGCAAAGGGTTCTGGGATATGTGGAGAGCATGTACCGTCACTTTGAGATGTAAAGCCCACGACTGTGTATGAGGGAAGCCTCGAAGGGAGGTACAGTTCACTGCTACTGGTTGAAGGATAGGGAGTGTGACTCACCATTCTACTAGCTGACATGGTCATTAACCAGATTTCCATCCAACCATTTCATGTGGATGAGTTACCTGATGCATGTAAACGACTGGGTTGATGGAAACAGGAAATGTCAGTACAACACGGTGGGATAGTTTTGTGTGGGTAACATGAATTATGGTGGTGGAAACGCCTTTGTGCTCAAATACTGATATAATAACCATCAATCATATCGAAGTAAACTTGGTTACGAAATGATATGTTGTGTGGTCCTCCCACTACGACTCGGGAAAGCATGCAGTTTATTAGGCTACAGATGAAATAAGTTTTATTATGAACTTCACAGGGTGGTGAAAGTGCACTGTGATAAGCTTGATGCTCCTTTCCAATACATATCAAGGGTCTTATTCTGGTGACATGATGATCGATGCTTGGCTGCCGTACCCATAATAATCTGATCATGTAGGCCGAGGCTAGCCTATACCCGCACTGTATCTGCCAGCTGTTAGCTAGAGCCACGTGCCAAAACCAGAGTGGGCTATATAACGCAACAGTTTTTGGACAAAACCATCTGTAGAATTGAAAATGCAATTGTAACCCATTAAACTTTTTTTATTCGGTACGTGGGAATTAAAGCGCAAAACTTATTTTTATGTGTACTAGGTCATCACGCACAGCATGTAATCCGCAACAAGTCAGTTTGATGGAAACACATCTGTGGTGAGAAAATGTGCATATTGTTTTCATACGGATTTTAGAATATTCACATGAAAATCTGTCGCCAATTGGATGGAAATCTAGCTAGTGATTGGCATGTAGTGAAAGTTAGGCTTTGTTGGCACAACAGAGCCCCCTTGTGGTCAGGCGTGCAGGTGCATGTTGTGTTAAACGTCTCCACATTGGGACATCAGAAAGGTACTGCGTGACCTCTCATACCAAATATTTGCTTAACTCCCAAACTTTTTCTCAGCAGTACCATCTTAAACTGCTGATTTGTGTGCAGTGCCTTTTAATATCAGTCTTCCATTACAAAGATTTTCATGTTTTCTATCTGTTTTTAGCACTCTGTAAATATGCACTTTTATAAGCACTTTGATGATTGTAATTTAAAAGGAATGGAATGCATTTAGACAGTCTGTCTAGCAATCCGTGGATGCTTAGGATGCTTATATGTAACTAAAATGTGAACGCTGGCTATGTTGCCAAAGATGCAGAATAAATAAAATTGTCAATATAAAGCTAACATTGTTCATTCTGTACGGTGCTGTCCACGGAGACTGAATTGCTTTATCAGAGTGATTTGACTTGGGATATCTAAATATATCTAATTATTGCAGGTTTGTCCTAATCACAAAGGTGAGGCCTTGTTTGTTATTACCTTTGTCTCCATCTAGTGGTGTCTTCAAAGCTGACACAAGTTATATCCATTGTGTTTATTACTGACTAATCATAGTCACACACACACACACACACACACACACACACACACAATGACCTACTAAGACAATGTCACACCCAGCCACTGCCCTCTTGTCTTCTGTATTCATCTGTCCCCAAATGGTAATAGAAAGATCACGTCCATTAATTACCTATTTGAATTAATCATGAAAACCTGAGACCACTGAATAATATTACTCAATAAGCCATCCACAATAGCTCTTGGCTTGGGAGTTGTTTTGCGACAAACTAACGTTTGTTCCCAGTGGGTGATCCTGAAAAAGACACAAAGGTTGATTTTAATGTGTGTAATAAAATATTCTAGGATCAAATTTTTACAAGCCTATCAGGTTTTGGCGTTGTGGGTGGGGTTGGTACAGGACAATAGAGCAGGTTAGAGCCACAACGACTGGTGTTAGTTTGGACTTCAGCACAGCAGAGAATTCTTGGAGAAGATTTGGCTCCTCTGCGTTTGTGTGGCACTGGCTTTCATTTCTACTTCTGCTCATGTCTCCTCCAGGTAATGAACCTTGAATTTGAGCTGATTGAAATGAGACATTTCTGATTTGAAATATTTTTCCATGTCTGTAAATTGAATCTCTAAGGATGACAGAGTTTGAACAGATTTCTCGGTCAGGTAGTCTAGTCATTTATTATAGGTACTCATTTCTGATAGTCATAACTCATAGGAGCCAAGAAGCAAACATGTTTGAATTGTTTCAATTGCAATCAGTTTTTTTCTATTTTGACATTTTACTGATAGCTTGAACACTGTGTGTGTATATCCCTGCTGAGGTAGAAGTGTCTCTCTTCTCTCTCGCTCTTTATCTTTCTCTTTCCCAGTATGAGTGCTACGTACCTGATCTCAGCCCCCAGTGTGTTGCGTCCGGGGACCCCTACCTCCCTGGCTGTCACCATCCTCACGAACGACCCAGTCAGGGTCACAGCAGAGCTGACCAACGGCAACACCAGCCTGGCCCAGGCAGAGAGTTCTTTCAGAGGTGGTGACATTGACTTATATTACTCTCTTTAACATCTTACAAAGTTATCTTGAATGTTTTCTTTGTTAAGCAACTTAAACATGGTTGCTGTTTTTTTCAAAGGCATGTTCTGGATCTTCCTCCTGTGAGTTTTTTCTGTAGTAATATATTGAGGTAATATCTGGAAAAGGACCATTGATGACATAAAGTATACATGTTAGGCCAAGTATGACATTCATTTGGGTTATTACTAAGTTATTACAGCCTAATTACACAGAAATAAGATGGACTCAATGACGCATGATACTTAGTTTATTTTCAATTTCCCACATGTTCTGAAGCCATCTTTACACTTTTCAACACGTGAGTGTAAATATCTATAGGCTTGGACCTCTTGTCATTGACTTCCAGGTGACGTCCGTGGGTCAGGTGGTGGCTGCAGGGACAGCAACCTCTCCCTCCTTCTCTCGAACCCCTGCAGTGTCCTGGTCACCAGAGGCCTGTATCTCTGTGTACTGTGTACTACCTGATGGAGAGGTCATCAGTGACCTGCACATCTTCATCAAGCCCCATGTAGTCCTGCAAAACAAGGTAACTAACTCGTATCACTAATAATGCTAATCTTTCTTATTTATGAAATTACTGAGTGCATACAGTGATAGTATACTTAATGAATTATTGCAGTGTGATGAAATGTGTTCTGTTCTCCAGGTATCTCTGAGCTGGAGCCATGCCAAGGCAAGGCCAGGTGATGAGGTGTTCCTCAGTCAGTGTGCTTGAACCTGGCTCTCTGGTCAGAATAATGGTGGTGGCGTGGAGGACAAAGAAACTGTACTGTACATCTAGATACACCCTGCCACATGAAATATAGTCTACTGTAAACAACGCCTAAGATGTACCACTGTACTGTCTTTATTGTCTGTAAAGCAATCCGAGATTTATTCTGTGAAATTCATACTTCTGTGAAGCATTTAAAGGTCAATCGGACAAAGAGGAGGTTTCAGATAATGCCAGCGATAGTTTTATTTATCTTTGTGGGCTAACCCTTTTGATTAAAATGGCTGCAATCACAATGAGCTCTTCAAGTGGTTCATTTCGTGATTGTAACAGTTTTGGGTCATCAGCTCAGCAGTCAGGCTCTGTCTGTATCAATGGCGACGTGGTGAACATCTGCGGCATCAGAACTGGCCCAACCGGCTGTAATGTAGCTAGTTGTATTGTTGTGGGGTTGTTTTGTTGTTTCTAAGAGGTAGTGGTAGCTCTAGTGTTGTGGGTGGGGGTGTGCTCAGGTGCTGGCGGAGATAATTCTTCACCACAGTGGAATGACTGGAGGGAAAGACTTCCCACTCTCCATTTTCACGGTACTGATGCCGCACATTGTGTCTTGCTGAATAGACTACACTGAGCCTGGAATAACCCTAGGTCTCACCTCACTGTGTTCCTGGGTTGATGTTACGTTACATCATGACTGTGACCTGACCCACTTCTTCATAGATGATATTTGACAGTGATGGAGGAGCCTGTAGGGATACTGTATCATTTTGGCTATGATACAAGTGTTGTATTACTATTGTATTAATATTGACTTTTGAACACAATGCAGATAAAATTCCATAATGCTAAACACAAATAGGCCTAAAGTGTTTGTATACAATGTTGCGAAAACATTTGCTTTTTGCTTTTCAAATCTTAGGCTTGCAACCTTGTGGTATTAACATATACCAGTTTACATAAAACAGACTGAATTGGGTATGAAAACAATTACACACACCATGCTTGGATAAATTAAAATGTAAACAAAACTCTTGAACAAGCACATATATTGTGAGATCTTCTTTCTGTTATGAAATTAAGGGGTCCCTCTTGTGGAGATGTGGCATACTACATAAAGACTAAATTTAGGGGCAGTTTAGCAGATACAGATTAAGCCGAGTCTGAGACTAAATTGCACTTTTAAAATGGACTGACTGAAATTGCATTTCTCAGACATGGATTAAAATAGTCTCAAACTTGCCCTAGTCTAGATTGAAAAAGTATGCTTTCCAGAAGGACGATTAGAGTTAATTTAGATCTAAGTGAAGGCTTAAATTAAACCTGGCCAGAGGCAGGTGTAACTTCAGATTAATGGGTGTTGGCCCCCAGGTTGACCTTGGCAATGGAGGAAAATTGATTACCTGGACTATTTCAGTGATGATCAAAGAGCACCACCAAGGCCAGAAAGAAGGGCGATTTATAGGCAGGAGTAACCCACTGAATGATTTTGATTAAATCAATTTCTGTGACCTTTTTCATATGTACAAAGAAAATGCAGCAGACAATAGTTTGCTTGAGCCAAGGCTTTTATCTGACTCTCTTCGGGGAAGGCCCATCACTCCTTCTCTAAAAGTACTGATCACCTTGAGGTTTTTGGCATCTGAAACCTTCCATCGTGAGCAGAAGATTTGTGTGGTGTAAGTGAACCAACTGTATGCAGAATAGTCCACAGTCTGCAATACTATATGTGAACTGAAAGACAATTACATCAAGTTCCCTGATGCTTCTGCCCAAGCCAACTACAAGGTAGAGTTAGCGTTAGGGTCCTGAGCAACAACGGTACAACCAAGCTCATATCCGCAGCAGAGGTGTAGTGGAGCGTATGTTTGGTGTATGGAAGAGTCATTTCCAGTGTCTCAAACACATTGCGCTTTCAACCAAGAAGATGCTGCATTGTCATAATTGCAACAGAAGTGTTTCACAATTACCTCAAACAGCATGGCTGCCCAGATCCTCGCATTGAATATGAGGATGACCCAGATGTTCCCATGGTTGAGACAGACAATGACATAAATGTACAAGCCTGCAGATATGCTTTTGCTATGCAGCACTTCTCACAACAAAGATAGCTCAAGTGATTGAAGCAAACAATAGCCATAATTCACAAATTGAAAAATCGGCACCGTGAACTGGTGCTGGTTCGAGAAGAACATTGGTACTGCTGCTGCTTCATGTTTCCTCTATAGCTCATGAAATTCCATGGCCAGTTTTTCATGCATGCTCAGCCTCTTTGTCTTTGTCCTCCGGTCCGGGTTAGTGACACAATCTTCACTCCTGGCTGCTGCAGATGTAGTGGGCTGACCTTCATCCTGTTAAGACAAGGCCCCTCCTAAAAATGATTACATTGTTGCATTAGAGAACATTATTTCTTCAAGAGTTGAGTTCATTATTATGGGAGTGCAAGAGATGACTGACAACATTCCATATTCCCTGCAGTTTGGGGATGGGACATGTTGAATGAATGTGTTCTACCAAATGAGGTATGGAACGGTTCCCTATCTGAACTGTCCAATTTGTCATCATCGGGGATACCTTCCAGGGGTTGCTGGCTATCAATGATCCCGGTCAACAAGTCCCCGAGCTCATCTGTCTCTGGTCTTACCAATCTTGAAACACTCCCTATGAGCAACAGCATTTGTCTTTTAAGTAGATTTTTATGTTTTTTGACAGGACCTTAGAAAAACAAGAAGATATAGAAATGATATTAGTAAATATGTATGATATTGTTTGTGTTTACATTTCTGTCACACAAATACATTTCGGCCAAACTGTGTTGTTACACAAGAAAAATAACATTTCAAAGTGACTCTGATTTGTAAAAGTGAGCCAACAATAAATCCAGTATCTGACTTGAAGTTGTTGTAGCGTCCTTTTTGTTTACTTTCTCATTTGAGGTGAATTCATTACAAATGGTAGTAGAGGCATTCGTTTGTTTTTGATAATTGGGTGATTTGACACAATTCTTTTTTTCCGAAAGTCACTGAAATTCTTTATACATTTTTTACTGCCGTCCATTGTTTGGTTTAGATGACTTGCTCCAATTCCACACAATGCTTATGCATTAGTGTCCCATCCCTGGTTTTTGAAGCATCCTCAGGTCAACACCAAATGCACATCTTTAATCTAATCAGACTCCCTAGTCGAGAACTAATTAATCTGAAGCTAAGCAACATCTCAGAAAGCAATTTTTAAAATCTGGATTCATTTAATTAGAATGTCCCTAGTCCTGACTTTAAATGAAACTCTGTGACAGAGGCTTACATAGTTCTGATTGCCTGTTGTTTATCAGATCATGAAGAGGAGGCGCTGATGAGAGAGGAGCACTTGGAGTGGAGGCCCTCCATGGGACATGATTTCTCTGAGACATGGCTGTAACATCAGGTGAACTTTAGGAGAAGCACAAAAACAGTTTAGGCTGGAAAACACTTGAGGATACAGTCTACTTTCTCCACTATTGAAAACATCAGGGTTCTTGGGATTTAATGTTGAAGTACTCTATTCCCTCATGTCTGTATCAGTGAGTCAACAACAACTAGTCTCTGTGTGGTGTTCCAGACAGCATAACCTCCTGGAGCGCTATGGTGTTTGTGATGTCAGATAACCTGGGCTTGGGCCTCCCCTTCAAACCGCAGAAGGTATGTGTAGACCTATCCACTGCCACCACAGTTACAAAGTCTGCACAGCTACTGTATGGCTCTGTGATTATACTACATCTCAATGGGATTACCATAAATTAACAATTGATAAAGACTGTTGTTTCATTGCATGTCATTGTACATCATTTCACCATAATGTTTCATTGCATGTGGTGCCGATATTTTTGTCGAGAACTAGATGCCGAGGGTAGAGTCTGATTTGGTGAGTGTCTCCCACAGCTGACAGTGTCCAAGGACTTCTCCCTGTCTCTGGATACCCCAAAATGCATCACCAGAGGAGAGCAGCTCGTCCTAAAGGTCAACCTCTTCAACCATCTAGAACAGGACATGGTCAGTGGACTGTGCTGAACGGGCCAGGAGGTTTTACCTCTCCTCACATGCTTAAGTCTCACCGTGTATGGTGGTTTCTTCAAATAATACTTTGTGTGACTCTAATGTTGAACCAAAAACCAGGTTGTTAAAGTAACTTTCCAGTGAAAATCTCACTTGTAAAAGTTTATATTGTGTTAACTCATACCCAAATAATCAGTGGTGGAAAAAGTACCCAATTGTCATACTTGAGTAAAAGTAAAGATACCTTAATAGAAAATGAATCACCCAGTAAAATACAAATCAGACAGCACCATTCTATTTTTTTATTTACAGATAGCCAGGGGCACACTCCAACACTCAGACGTAATTTACAAATGAAGCATTTGTGTTTAGTGAGTCCGCTAGATCAGAGGCAGTAGTGATGACCAGGGATGTTCTCTTGATACAGTGGCTTGCGAAAGTATTCACCACCCTTGGCATTTTTCCCATTTTGTTGCCTTACAACCTGGAAATAAAATGAATTTGGGGGGGGGGGGGGGGGGGGTTGTATCATTTGATTTACACAACATGCCTACCACTTTGAAGATGGAAAATATTTGTTATTGTGAAACAAACAAGATATAAGACAAAAAAACAGAACTTGAGCGTGCATAACTATTCACCCCCCCAAAGTCAATACTTTTTAGAGCCACCTTTTGCAGCAATTACAACTGCAAGTCTCTTGGTATGTCTCTATAAGCTTGGCACATCTAGCCACTGGGATTTTTGCCCATTCTTCAAGGCAAAACTGCTCCAGCTCCTTCAGTTGGATGGGTTCCGCTGGTGTACAGCAAACTTTAAATCATACCACAGATTCTCATTTGGATTGAGGTCTGGGCTTTGACTAGGCCATTCCAAGATATTTAAATGTTTCCCCTTAAACCAATCGAGTGTTGCTTTAGCAGTATGCTTAGGGTCATTGTCCTGCTGGAAGGTGAACCTCCGTCCCAGTCTCAAATCTCTGGAAGACTGAAACAGGTTTCCCTCAAGAATTTCCCTGTATTTAGCGCCATCCATCATTCCTTCAATTCTGACCAGTTTCCCAGTCCCTGCCGATGAAAAAACATCCCCACAGCATGATGCTGCCACCACCATGCTTCACTGTGGGGATAGTGTTCTCGGGGTGATGAGAGGTGTTGGGTTTGCGCCAGACATAGCGTTTTCCTTAATGGCCAAAAAGCTCAATTTTAGTCTCATCTGACCAGAGTACCTTCTTCCATATGTTTGGGGAGTCTCCCACATGCCTTTTGGCGAACACCAAACGTGTTTGCTTATTTCTTTCTTTAAGCAAAGGCTTTTTTCTGGCACTCTTCCGTAAAGCCCATCTCTGTGGAGTGTACGGCTTAAAGTGGTCCTATGGACAGATACTCCAATCTCCGCTGTGGAGCTTTGCAGCTCCTTCAGGGTTATCTTTGGACTCTTTGTTGCCTCTGATTTAATGCCCTCCTTGCCTGGTCCGTGAGTTTTGGTGGGCGGCCCTCTCTTGGCAGGTTTGTTGTGGTGCCATATTCTTTCAATTTTTTAAATAATTGATTTAATGGTGCTCTGTGGGATGTTCAAAGTTTCGGATATTTTTTATAACCCAACCCTGATCTGTACTTCTCCACAACCTTGTCCCTGACCTGTTTGGAGAGCTCCTTGGTCTTCATGGTGCCGCTTGCTTGGTGGTGCCCCTTGCTTATTGGTGTTGCAGACTCTGGGGCCTTTCAGAACAGGTGTGTGTGTGTGTATGTATGTATGTATGTATGTATATATATATATATATATATATATATATATATATATATATAATATACTGAAATCATGTGACAGATCATGTGACACTTAGATTGCACACAGGTGGACTTTATTTAACTAATTATGTGACTTCTGAAGGTAATTGGTTGCACCAGGTCTTATTTAGGGGCTTCATAGCAAAAGGGGTGAATACATACAGTGGGGAAAAAATGTATTTAGTCAGCCACCAATTGTGCAAGTTCTCCCACTTAAAAAGATGAGAGAGGCCTGTAATTTTCATCATAGGTACACGTCAACTATTACAGACAAATTGAGAAAAAATAATCCAGAAAATCACATTGTAGGATTTTTTATGAATTTATTTGCAAATGATGGTGGAAAATAAGTATTTGGTCACCTACAAACAAGCAAGATTCCTGGCTCTCACAGACCTGTAACTTCTTCTTTAAGAGGCTCCTCTGTCCTCCACTCGTTACCTGTATTAATGGCACCTGTTTGAACTTGTTATCAGTATAAAAGACACCTGTCCACAACCTCAAACAGTCACACTCCAAACTCCACTATGGCCAAGACCAAAGAGCTGTCAAAGGACACCAGAAACAAAATTGTAGACCTGCACCAGGCTGGGAAGACTGAATCTGCAATAGGTAAGCAGCTTGGTTTGAAGAAATCAACTGCGGGAGCAATTATTAGGAAATGGAAGACATACAAGACCACTGATAATCTCCCTCGATCTGGGGCTCCACGCAAGATCTCACCCTGTGGGGTCAAAATGATCACAAGAACGGTGAGCAAAAATCCCAGAACCACACGGGGGGACCTAGTGAATGACCTGCAGAGAGCTGGGACCAAAGTAACAAAGCCTACCATCAGTAACACACTACGCTGCCAGGGACTCAAATCCTGCAGTGCCAGACGTGTCCCCCTGCTTAAGCCAGTACATGTCCAGGCCCGTCTGAAGTTTGCTAGAGTGCATTTGGATGATCCAGAAGAGGATTGGGAGAATGTCATATGGTCAGATGAAACCAAAATATAACTTTTTGGTAAAAACTCAACTCGTCGTGTTTGGAGGACAAAGAATGCCGAGTTGCATCCAAAGAACACCATACCTACTGTGAAGCATGGGGGTGGAAACATCATGCTTTGGGGCTGTTTTTCTGCAAAGAGACCAGGAAGACTGATCCGTGTAAAGGAAAGAATGAATGGGGCCATGTATCGTGAGATTTTGAGTGAAAACCTCCTTCCATCAGCAAGGGCATTGAAGATTAAACGTGGCTGGGTCTTTCAGCATGACAATGATCCCAAACACACCGCCCGGGCAACGAAGGAGTGGCTTCGTAAGAAGCATTTCAAGGTCCAGGAGTGGCCTAGCCAGTCTCCAGATCTCAATCCCATAGAAAATCTTTGGAGGGAGTTGAAAGTCTGTGTTGCCCAGCGACAGCCCCAAAACATCACTGCTCTAGAGGAGATCTGCATGGAGGAATGGGCCAAAATACCAGCAACAGTGTGTGAAAACCTTGTGAAGACTTACAGAAAACGTTTGACCTGTGTCATTGCCAACAAAGGGTATATAACAAAGTATTGAGAAACTTTTGTTATTGACCATATACTTATTTTCCACCATAATTTGCAAATAAATTCATAAAAAATCCTACAATGTCATTTTCTGGATTTTTTTTCTCTCATTTTGTCTGTCATAGTTGACGTGTACCTATGATGAAAATTACAGGCCTCTCTCATCTTTTTAAGTGGGAGAACTTGCACAATTGGTGGCTGACTAAATAATTTTTTCCCCCACTGTATGCACGCACCACTTTTCCGTTATTAATATTTTAGAATTTTTAGAAACAAGTTATTTTTTTCATTTCACTTCATCAATTTGGACTATTTTGTGTATGTCCATTACATGAAATCCAAATAAAAATCAATTTAAATTACAGGTTGTAATGCAACAAAATAGGAAAAATGCCAAGGGGGATGAATACTCTTGCAAGGCACTGTAAGTGCGTGAATTGCACAATTTTTCTGTCCTGCTAAGCATTCAAAAAGTACTTTTGAGTGTCAGGGAAAATGTATGGAGTAAAAAGTCAATTATTTTCTTTGGAACTGTAGTAAAGTAAAAGTTGTCAAAAATATAAGGAGTAAAGTACAGATACCCCAAAAAACTACTTAGATAGTACTTCAAAGTATTTTTACTTAAGTACTTTACACCACTGCAAATGATGTTGATGACTCATCCTATACTCGTATTTGTGGCCAAAGCATAAACACTTCAGTAACCCCACCTCAAACTTTCAAAAATGCTTGCCATTTCCTCATAGAGGAGGATGAGCTAGCCAATCAGCGGTCTACTCGCGTGAATATTTTTAATGATCTGTATACACCCACACCACTCTGTTGTTGGGGTAAGCTCACACCATTCCGACACAGATAATCTTATTTTTAACATATTTAACAATTGAAATTGGAAGGAAAACGATTTCAATCATATTGTAATTAATTATAGGTCATATTTCATAGAAATCTGGAAATACTGGACAGTTACTTTAAACGCTGTTGTGAAAACCTCTTAGAAAATGTCTTAGATCATTAAATCATTAACTGTCTTCATTATACAGTCGAAGTCGGAAGTTTACAGTGAGGAAAAAAAGTATTTGATCCCCTGCTGATTTTGTACGTTTGCCCACTGACAAAGAAATTATCAGTCTATAATTTTAATGGTAGGTTTATTTTAACAGTGAGAGACAGAATAACAACAACAAAATCCAGAAAAACCCATGTCAAAAATGTTATACATTGATTTGCATTTTAATGAGGGAAATAAGTATTTGACCCCCTCTCAATCAGAAAGACTTCTGGCTCCCAGGTGTCTTTTATACAGGTAACGAGCTGAGATTAGGAGCACACTCTTAAAGGGAGTGCTCCTAATCTCAGCTTGTTACTTGTATAAAAGACACCTGTCCACAGAAGCAATCAATCAATCAGATTCCAAACTCTCCACCATGGCCAAGACCAAAGAGCTCTCCAAGGATGTCAGGGACAAGATTGTAGACCTACACAAGGCTGGAATTGGCTACAAGACCATCGCCAAGCAGCTTGGTGAGAAGGTGACAACAGTTGATGCGATTATTAACAAATGGAAGAAACACAATAACTGTCAATCTCCCTCGGCCTGGGGCTCCATGCAAGATCTCACCTCGTGGAGTTGCAATGATCATGAGAACGGTGAGGACTCAGCCCAGAACTACACGGGAGGATCTTGTCAATGATCTCAAGGCAGCTGGGACCATAGTCACCAAGAAAACAATTGGTAACACACTACGCCGTGAAGGACTGAAATCCTGCAGCGCCCGCAAGGTCCCCCTGCTCAAGAAAGCACATATACAGGCCCGTCTGAAGTTTGCCAATGAACATCTGAATGATTCAGAGGAGAACTGGGTGAAAGTGTTGTGGTCAGATGAGACCAAAATGGAGCTCTTTGGCATCAACTCAACTCGCCATGTTTGGAGGAGGAGGAATGCTGCCTATGATCCCAAGAACACCATCCCCACCATCAAACATGGAGGTGGAAACATTATGCTTTGGGGTTTTTCTGCTAAGGGGACAGGACAACTTCACCGCATCAAAGGGACGATGGACGGGGCCATGTACCGTCAAATCTTGGGTGAGAACCTCCTTCCCTCAGCCAGGGCATTGAAAATAGGTCATGGATGGGTATTCCAGCATGACAATGACCGAAAACACACGGCCAAGGCAACAAAGGAGTGGCTCAAGAAGAAGCACATTAAGGTCCTGGAGTGGCCTAGCCAGTCTCCAGACCTTAATCCCATAGAAAATCTGTGGAGGGAGCTGAAGGTTCGAGTTGCCAAACGTCAGGCTCGAAACCTTAATGACTTGGAGAAGATCTGCAAAGAGGAGTGGGACAAGTCACTCCTGAGATGTGTGCAAACCTGGTGGCCAACTACAAGAAACGTCTGACCTCTGTGATTGCCAACAAGGGTTTTGCCTAAGTCATGTTTTGCAGAGGGGTCAAATACTTATTTCCCTCATTAAAATGCAAATCAATTTATAACATTTTTGACATGCATTTTTCTGGATTTTTTTGTTGTTATTCTGTCTCTCACTGTTCAAATAAACCTACCATTGAAATTATAGACTGATCATGTCTTTGTCAGTGGGCAAACGTACAAAATCAGCAGGGGATCAAATACTTTCTTCCCTCACTGTACATACACCTTAGCTAAATACATTTAAACTCAGTTTTTCACAATTCCTGACATTTAATCCTAGTAAAAATTCCCTGTCTTAGGTCAGTTAGGATCACCACTTTATTTTAAGAATGTGAAATGTCAGAATAATAGTAGAGATTTATTTCAGCTTTTATTTCTTTCATCACATTCCCAGTGGGTCAGAAGTTTACATACACTCAATTAGTATTTGGTAGCATTGCCTTTAAATTGTTTAACTTGGGTCAAACGTTTCGGGTAGCCTTCCACAAGCTTCCCACAATAAGTTGGCGGAGATTTGGCCCATTCCTCCTGACAGAGCTGGTGTAACTGAGTCAGGTTTGTAGGCCTCCTTGCTTGCACACAATTTTTCAGTTCGGTCCACACATTTTCTATAGGATTGAGGTCAGGGCTTTGTGATGGCCACTCCAATACCTTGACTTTGTTGTCCTTAAGCCATTTTGCCACAACTTTGGAAGTATGCTTGGGGTCGTTGTCCATTTGGAAGACCCATTTGCGACCAAGCTTTAACTTCCTGACTGATGTCTTGAGATGTTGCTTCAATATATCCACATACTTTTCCTTCCTCATGATGCCATCTATTTTGTGAAGTGCACCAGTCCCTCCTGCAGCAAAGCACTCCCACAGCATGATGCTGCCACCCCCGTGCTTCACTGTTGGGATGGTGTTCTTCGGCTTGCAAGCACCCTCTTTTTCCTCCAAACATAATGATGGTGATTATGGCCAAACAGTTCTGTTTTTGTTTCATCAGACCAGATGACATTTCTCCAAAAAGTACGATCTTTGTCCCCATGTGCAGTTGCAAACCGTAGTCTGGCTTTTTTATGGTGGTTTTGGAGCAGTGGCTTCTTCCTTGCTGAGCGGCTTTTCAGGTTATGTCGATATAGGACTTGTTTTACTGTGGGTATAGATACTTTTGTACCTGTTTCCTCCAGCATCTTCACAAGGTCCTTTGCTGTTGTTCTGGTTTTGATTTGCACTTTTCGCATCAAAGTACGTTCATCTCTACGAGACAGAACGCGTCTCCTTCCTGAGCTGTATGACGGCTGCGTGGTCCCATGGTGTTTATACTTGCGTACTATTGTTTGTACAGATGAACGTGGTACCTTCAGGCGTTTGGAAATTGCTCCCAAGGATGAACCAGACTTGTGGAGGTCTACCATTTTTCTTCTGAGGGCTTGTCTGATTTCTTTTGATTTTCCCATGATGTCAAGCAAAGAGGCACTGAGTTTGAAGGTAGGCCTTGAAATACATCCACAGGTACACCTCCAATTGACTTAAATTATGTCAATTAGCCTATCAGAAGCTTCTAATGCCATGACATAATTTCCTGGAATTTTCCAAGCTGTTTATAGGCACAGTCAACTTCTGACCCACTTGAATTGTGATACATTGAAATCTGTAAAGAATTATTGGAAAAATTACATGTCATGCACAAAGTAGATGTCCTAACCGACTTGCTAAAACGATAGTTTGTTAACAAGAAATTTGTGGAGTGGTTGAAGAAGGAGTTTTAATGACTCCAACCTAAGTGTATGTAAACATCCGACTTCAACTGTACTTCTTCCTATAGTCTTTGCATCTCCCACATCAAACAGCTTCCTGTATGTAAGTGATCCATCCTTAATTGTTTTCCCATTCCTCTTGTTCTCCACAGGTCATCTTGGTGGTTGCTGAGAGCCAGCGCTTTGTTTGTTCTGGCAGACCTTGTTTCTATGGTGAACGCACGTACAGTGACAGTAGGGAGCCATGGCGGAGCTGCTGCTCTCTCTCCCATCAGGCGCCTGGTCCTTGGAGAGATAACAATGTCTGTGAAAGCAAAGACTGGACTGAGAAAATTGTTCGCAAAGATGCTTGTGAAGGTACAATGTGGCTGAATAACTTCATAATAAAGTTTGGTTTCTAAGTTACAAAATCGATTGTTGATGGACATAAAAGAATAAACTGTCAGTCTTTTTATACACCCCTCATGGTACCCCTCTCCCCTCAGAACACCCAGACCATGACTAATTAACACTATATTGTCTCTTGGTACTCATCCCGTAACCTCTGTCTGTCTGTATTCTCTCAGCCCCGAGGGCAAAGAACAGTCCTTCTCTGAGACAGTGTTTTTGGAGCTGGCTCCATCAGAGTGTAACCTGTCCCGACAGCTTCACTTCTCCTTCCCTCCAGATGTGGTGCCAGGCAGCGAGAGGGCTCACTTCGCACTGGTTGGTATGTACCATTCAATACTGTATACCATCCATCTTTTGTTATCACCAACACAGCTCTGTTTAGGTTTACATGTCATTAACTCAACTGCAGCGTACACCCATGTTTCATTTTGTGTTTAGACAATGGGCATGATGCAGGCACATGGTTGTCCAGTAAAGATCTGTCATTTTGTGTTGGGTGTTAGATGATGGAAACGGAAATGAGGGCTATCAAAACAATATTTGTGGCAAGCTGACTCGGAGCAGCTGCTGAGGTGTTTATGTTCACCAATCAGATCCAGGGATTTGTCATGGTAGAATACAAACCTAGCAACTTTTGTTGTTCAAGGACAAACCGTGTGGTCTATGCGTGTTATGTACATTATACAGGGGCTATTTTCTAAACACCAAGAGCGTTCCTGTCTCTTCCTCGCTGTTCTTTTGTCTCTCAGACATATTTTATTTTCCCTCCCTCTCTTCAATCTATCCACCTCTCTCTCCCTCTGCTCTCACATTCTCCTCTCGTGGTCCAGGGTGCTTGGTCTAAAACGATTCATCTGTCTACCATCTCAAATCCAATCCTTCTGTATTACCACCACAATGTTTGATTGTGTAACGTCTAAATGGTTCCTCCCTTCCCTTCCTGTTTGTGTGGTGTGGTATTACAGGTGATATCTCTGGTCTGTCCATAACCGGGTCCGCTGGTTCAGATGCCTCACGGCTGTGGAGAGCAGAACATTATCAACTTCACTCCCAACATCTATGTCCTGCAGTACCTGAGCAATCTTACCAGCCCTACAAGGAGATACCCAGCAGGGCTCTGTCATACATGATGTCTCCGTGCCCTATAGCTCAGTATGATAGCTCAGTATGATCTAATCCATGCCCCATAGTGGTGAGGAGAACAAGATTAAGTTAAAATGTTGTTGTATCCGGGCCTCCCGAGTGGCGCAGTGGTCTATGGCACTGCATTGCAGTGCTAGAGGCGTCACTACAGACCCAGGTTCGATCCCGGGCTGTATCACAACCTGCCGTTATCGGGAGTCCCTTAGGGCGGCGCACAATTGGCCCAGCATCGTCCGGGTTAGGGGTGGGTTTGGTTGGGGGGGCTTTACTTGGCTCATCGCGCTTCAATAGACTCCTTGTGGCGGGCCGGGCGCCTGCAGGCTGACCTCGGTCATCAGTTGAACGGTGTTTCCTCCAACACATTGGTGTGGCTGGCTTCCGGGTTAAGCGGGCGGGTGTTAAGAAGCGCAGTTTGGCAGGTCATGTTTCGGAGGAAGCATGACTCGACCTTCGCCTCCCGAGCCCGTTGGTGAGTTGCAGCGATGAGACAAGACTGAAATTGGGAAGAAAAAAGGGGGTAAAAATAAAATGTTGTATCAGAAGTGTGTTGTAACTACCACATTCTCACATTCCTCTCTTCAGGATATCAGAGAGAACTGTCCTTCCAGAGAGATGACGCCTCCTTCCGGGCCTTTGGAGCCAGCGACGCTTCTGGTAGTACCTGGTAGGTCATTATATAAAAATGTAAATGTCACTTTGTCTCTGTTCGAACTCTTTTCTCCCTTGTCCAGGCTGACAGCGTTTGTACTGAGGTGTTTCCTACAGACCTGGTCCTTCGTGCAGATTGACCAGAGCATTCTCTCCAGGGCCATGGGCTGGCTGGTTCAGCAGCAGGGATCCCAGGGAGAGTTCATCGAAGTGGGCAGGGTCATCCACACTGCGCTGCAGGGAGGCCTGGATGGACCCGTCTCTCTCAATGCCTATGTGCTGATGACACTGCTGGAGGATCAGACCTACTGTATGTGGTGAAGAGAAACAAGTCTGAGGGGCATGAATGTAGTCGTGCACTAATACAAAATCTGCTTACCCCACCCGACTAGAATCACTACTCTAGACGGGTCTGACCTAGAGTACGTGGACAACTACAAATATCTAGGTGTCTGGTTAGACTGTAAACTCTCCTTCCAGACTCACATTAAGAATCTCCAATCCAAAGTTAAATCTAGAATCGGTTTCCTATTTCGCAACAAAGCCTCCTTCACTCATGCTGCCAAACATGCCCTCGTAAAACTGACTATCCTACCGATCCTTGACTTCGGCGATGTCATTTACAAAATAGCCTCCAACACTCTACTCAGCAAATTGGATGTTGTCTATCACAGTGCCATCCGTTTTGTCTCCAAAGCCCCATATAATACCCACCACTGTGACCTGTACGCTCTTGTTGGCTGGTCCTCACTACATATTCGTCGCCAAACCCACTGGCTCCAGGCCATCTATAAATCACTGCTAGGCAAATCCCCGCCTTATCTTAGCTCATTGGTCACCATAGCAACACCCACCCGTAGTCTGCGCTCCAGCGGGTATATCTCACTGGTCATCCCCAAAGCCAACACCTCCTTTGGCCGCAATTCCTTCCAGTTCTCTGCTGCCAATGACTGGAACAAATGGCAAAAATCTCTGAAGCTGGAGACACTTATCTCCCTCACTAACTTTAAGCATCAGTTGTCAGAGCACCTTACCGATCACTGCACCTGTACACAGCCCATCTGAAATTAGCCCGCCCAACTACCTCATCCCTATATTGTTATTTATTTTGCTCATCTGTACCCCAGTATCTCTATTTGCACATCATCTCTTGCACATCATTCCAGTGTTAATACTAAATTGTAATTATTTTGCACTATAGCCTATTTTATTGCCTTACCTCCATAACTTGCTAAATTTGCACACTGTATATTAATTGTATTTCTGTTGTATTTTTTTTTGTTCTCAACTGGTTTACCTGGTTAAATAAAGGTGAAATAAAAAAATAAAAAAAATGTGGGTAGGAAAAGTTGAGCGTGGGACGTTTCAGTGAAAGCAGAGAACCTTTCGTTACTCCTGAAGTATTGCTTTTCTAACACTAAGTGTGCTCATTGTACACATCGAAAATAGTGCCTATTAAATCATAGTTAGTCTTAATCTGATTGTCTAGAGTAGGGATGGGCAACTGGCCCCCCTTTTGAAGGCCCTCGGCTCAATCCCCCCCAAATAAAAAGGTGCAATTTCGAAATTTGGTTGTGCATCAACAGTTTTTCTCTAATGTCAGTCACTGATAGTCACTCAATTATCCCATGTCAGCTAATATTTTTTAGATTTGTAAGTTAGTCTAGCGGCCAGCTATCTAAACTTGTAGCAATCAAGGTTGAATTAGAGCCCTGGGGCCCCTCATTGAGTTTGTTAGTCAGTCTCACTCAATGTCATATTAAAAACTGCAAACACTTCTCTCCACCCTGGGGTTCCCAAACGTTTTCACTCAGGGCCCCCTTCCAGCATTGGGGAACATCCCACGCACACACATGCGCCAAGTCTATTTCTATGGGCACAAGCACTGTTCATGACACAAACTGTTCACACCCCTCTTGTTGGTGGAGAAAATGTTGCAGTTTTAAAGCTAATTTTCTTGCAATTCTATACATTTTGCCATGTCTAATGTGTATTCATGTGATATTTAAGTGACTAAAAATAATATCTATGGGCTAAAAAACCTAAATAAAGAACGTTAGCTGACATGGGCTAGTTAATCTGGACATTTCTGACCAGTTATAAATAGCTTTCGAAGGTATGCAATGACTAACATGACGAGGAACTGATAATGCACTCACTAACTGTAAGTCGCTCTGGATAAGAGCGTCTGCTAAATGACTAAAATGTAAATGTAATAATGCACTACCCAATTTCGAAATTGCACCTTGTGCATTCTACTATTACAACTTTCAACAGTAAGTTTAAAGCCAGACTGAGTTCCTTTAAAAAACAGAAAATAAACCTTTTTTTTGGGGAGGGGGGTCAAAGTGTCCACCTCAGTCTCACCTAGTGTCCGACTTCAACATCAACTCCACTAACTACCTGGTACATCAGACCAAAGAGGTAACATAGTCTTTGTCTGTTTCAAGTTGTAATATATGATACAGTATTTCAATGATGTACAGTGGCTTGCGAAAGTATTCGCCCCCCTTGGCATTTTTCCTATTTTGTTGCCGTACAACCTGGAATTAAAATGAATTTTTGGGGGGGTTTGTATCATTTGATCTACACAACATGCCTACCACTTTGAAGATGCAAAATATTTTTTTGTATGAAACAAACAAGAAAAAAGACAAAAAAACAGAACTTGAGCGTGCATAACTATTCACCCCCCAAAGTCAAAATACTATATAGAGCCACCTTTTGCAGCAATTACAGCTGCAAGTCTCTTGGGGTATGTCTCTATAAGCTTGGCACGTCTAGCCACTGGGATTTTGCCCATTCTTCAAAGCAAAACTGTTCCAGCTCCTTCAAGTTGGATGGGTTCTGCTGGTGTACAGCAATCTTTAAGTCATACCACAGATTCTCAATTGGATTGAGGTCTGGGCTTTGACTAGGCCATTCCAAGACATTTAAATGTTTCCCCTTAAACCACTCAAGTGTTGCTTTAGCAGTATGCTTAGGGTCATTGTCCTGCTGGAAGGTGAACCTCCGTCCCAGTCTCAAATCTCTGGAAGACTGAAACAGGTTTCCCTCAAGAATTTCCCTGTATTTAGCGCCATCCATCATTCCTTCAATTCTGACCAGTTTCCCAGTCCCTGCCGATGAAAAACATCCCCACAGCATGATGCTGCCACCACCATGCTTCACTGTGGGGATGGTGTTCTCAGGGTGATGAGAGGTGTTGGGTTTGCGCCAGACATAGCGTTTTCCTTGATGGCCAAAAAGCTCAATTTTAGTCTCATCTGACCAGAGTACCTTCTTCCATATGTTTGGGGAGTCTCCCACATGCCTTTTGGTGAACACCAAACGTGTTTGCTTATTTTTTTCTTTAAGCAATGGCTTTTTTTCTGGCCACTCTTCCGTAAAGCCCATCTCTGTGGAGTGTACGGCTTAAAGTGGTCCTATGGACAGATACTCCAATCTCCGCTGTGGAGCTTTGCAGCTCCTTCAGGGTTATCTTTGGTCTCTTTGTTGCCTCTGATTAATGCCCTCCTTGCCTGGTCCATGAGTTTTGGTGGGCAGCCCTCTCTTGGCAAGTTTGTTGTGGTGCCATATTCTTTCCATTTTTTATAATGGATTTAATGGTGCTCCGTGGGATGTTAAAAGTTTCTGATATTGTTTTATAACCCAACCCTGATCTGTACTTCTCCACAACTTTGTCACTGACCTGTTTGGAGAGCTCCTTGGTCTTCATGGTGCCGTTTGCTTGGTGGTGCCCCTTGCTTAGTGGTGTTGCAGACTCTGGGGCCTTTCAGAACAGGTGTATATATACTGAGATCATGTGACAGATCATGTGACACTTAGATTGCACACAGGTGGACTTTATTTAACTAATTATGTGACTTCTGAAGGTAATTGGTTGCACCAGATCTTATTTAGGGGCTTCATAGCAAAGGGGCTGAATACATATGCACGCACCAGTTTTCCGTTATTTATTTTTTAGAATTTTTTGAAACAAGTTATATTTTTCATTTCACTTCACCAATTTGGACTATTTTGTGTATGTCCATTAAATGAAATTCAAATAAAAATCAATTTAAATTACAGGTTGTAATGCAACAAAATAGGGAAAACGTCAAGGGGGATGAATACTTTTGCAAGGCCCTGTATCACCTGACAGCATGCATTATAGGCAAACAGCCACCATAATGTACAGTTCAAAGGCAATACAGTATTAACAGAGATTTTGTATTTTTCCAGATAGACGCTGAACAAGATTTACTCATCGATGTATTAATGGAGGGAAGAGGATTTGACTTATTTAAGGTATTCAGGTCACTTATCACTGGATGTCTAGTTAAGTCATAGCTATGAACACAATGTTCAATTTGTACAGACATTTATGATTTAACTATGTCATAGAAGAAGGTGACGTATAGGTATGCTCCTACAGGCAATGGAGGGGCCCTGTGTTTCAGGTACCATTAAGTCCTACACTTCAGATTTAATGGCCATACATTATCATGGTTGTCTCCTCACTTGCTTTCAATGTAATCCCAGAACCATGTCCAGTGTGAATGAAGGCAATAGCTGTGAATGATAGCTCTGACCCCACAATGCAGCATGAAAACTGTGTTGAGATGCAAAAACGTGGTAATTGACCACATTCATTCAGCAATTACCATCTGGAACACATAGCGTCTGGTCCATGTTAAATCTGCTTAGATTGTATCGCAGAGAGGATATGATGGAAGGTTCTGCTTCCAACTGCCTTCAATTTAGTCCTCTGTCCTCTGTTACAGACCCCCTCTAAACATCTTGCTTTCAGTCTCCTCGCCTGCCCCGGGTAGCCATTATCTGCTATATTACATTTTAGAATCAGTAGAAATCCAGAGTATTTGGCCTTTTCTTCAAACACGTTCACTGTTTTCCTCTCAGATTGACTGAAAACAACAGAGCTTTCTGTTTTCTTTACCCTTATCAATTTAATTAGGATTAATTTGTTTTTTGTGTGGGGGATTTCTTTCAGTTCTTTCATTTTCATTCATTCTTTAATTTATTTTCATTGGGATTCTTTCATTGTTCTCTGCCCTTGACAACTATATTGTTTATTGTGGTTCTGTTGCGCATAACAAGTCATGTATACTGTACAGTTTATAAAATAAAATAAAATAAAATAAAATTGTATTTGCCACATGCCCCAAATACAACAGGTGTAGACATTACAGTGAAATGCTTACTTACAAGCCCATAACCAACAATGCAGTTTAAGAAAAAATTTAAAATAGCAAATAATTAAAGAGCAGCAGTAAAATAAAAGAACAGTAGTGAGGTTATAATAATAATAATAATAATATGCCATTTAGCAGACGCTTTTATCCAAAGCGACTTACAGTCGTGTGTGCATACATTTTTGTGTATGGGTGGTCCCGGGGATCGAACCCACTACCTTGGCGTTACAAGCGCCGTGCTCTACCAGCTGAGCTACAGAGGACCACAGGGGGTACCAGTACAGAGTCAATGTGCGGGGGCACCAGTTAGTTGAGGTAATTGAGGTAATATGTACATGTGGGTAGAGTTAAAATTGACTATGCATAAATAATAAACAGAGTAGCAGCAGCGTAAAAGAGGGGATTGGGTTGGGGTGGGGTGGGGTGGGGGGGGGCAATGCAAATAGTCTGGGTAGCCATGATTAGCTGTTCAGGAGTCTTATGGCTTTGGGGTAGAAGCTGTTAAGAAGCCTTTTGGACCTAGACTTGGCGCTCCGGTACCGCTTGCCATGCGGTAGCAGAGAGAACAGTCTATGACTAGGGTGGCTGGAGTCTTTGATCATTTTTAGGGCCTTCCTCTGACCGCCTGGTATAGAGGTCCTGGATGGCAGGAAGCTTGGCCCCAGTGATGTACTGGGCCGCATGCACTACCCTCTGTAGTGCCTTGCGGTCGGAGGCAGAGCAGTTGCCATACCAGGCGGTGATGCAACCAGTCAGGATGCTCTCAATGGTGCAGCTGGATAACTTTTGGAGGATCTGAGGACACATGCCAAATCCTAGGCTTTGTCATGCCCTCTTCACGACTGTCTTGGTGTGTTTGGACCATGATAGTTTGTTGGTGATGTGGACACCAAGCAACTTGAAGCTCTCAACCTGTTCCACTACAGCCCCGTCGATGAGAATGGGGGTGTGCTCAGTCCTCTTTTTTTTCCTGTAGTCCACAATCATCTCCTTTGTCTTGATCACGTTGAGGGAGAGGTTGTTATCCTGGCACCACACGGCCAGGTCTCTGACCTCCTCCCTATAGGCTGTCTCATCATTGTCGGTGATCAGGCCTACCACTGTTGTGTCATCGGCAAACTTAATGATGGTGTTGGTGTCGTGCCTGGCCATGCAGACATGGGTGAACAGGGAGTACAGGAGGGGACTGACCACGCACCCCTGAGGGGCCCCCATGTTGAGGATCAGCGTGGCAGATGTGTTGTTACCTACCCTTACCACCTGGGGGCGGCCCGTCAGGAAGTCCAGGATCCAGTTGCAGAGGGAGGTGTTTAGTCCCAGGGTCCTTAGCTTAGTGATGAGCTTTGAGGGCACTATGGTGTTGAACGCTGAGCTGTAGTCGATGAATAGCATTCTCACATAGGTGTTCCTCTTGTCCAGGTGAGAAAAGGCAGTGTGGAGTGCAAAAGAGATTGCATCATCTGTGGATCTGTTGGGGCGGTATGCAAATTGGAGTGGGTCTAGGGTTTCTGGGATAATGGTGTTGATGTGAGCCATGACCAGCCTTTCAAAGCACTTCATGGCTAAAGACTTGGGTCGGTAGTCATTTAGGCAGGTTATCTTAATGTTCTTGGGCACAGGGACTATGGTGGTCTGCTTGAAACATGTTGGTATTGCAGACTCAGTCAGGGACATGTTGAAAATGTCAGTGAAGACACTTGCCAGTTGGTCAGCGCATGCTCGGAGTACACATCCTGGTAATCCGTCTGGCCCTGCAGCCTTGTGAATGTTGACCTGTTTAAAGGTCTTACTCACATTGGCTACAGAGAGCTTGATCACATAGTCATCCGGAACAGCTGATGCTGTCATGCATGCTTAAGTGTTGCTTGCCTCGAAGCGAGCATAGAAGTGATTTAGCTCGTCTGGTAGGCTTGGTACACGTCTCTGTGTGTGGAGTAAAGGTGGTCTAGAGTTTTTTCCCTCTGGTTGCACATTTAACATGCTGGTAGAAATTATGTAGAATGGATTTGTTTCCCTGCATTAACGTCCCCGGCCACTAGGAGCGCTGCCTCTGGATGAGCGTTTTTCTGTTTACTTATGGCCTTATACAGCTCATTGAGTGCAAGCTTAGTGCCTGCATCGGTTTGTGGTGGTAAATAGACAGCTACGAAAAAAATATAGATGGAAAATTATCTTGGTAAATAGTGTGGTCTACAGCTTATCATGAGATACTCTACCTCAGGCGAGCAAAACCTTGAGACTTCCTTTGTATTAGATTTTATGCACCAGCTGTTGTTTACAAATATACACAGACCCCTTGTCTTACCGGAGTCAGCCGTTCTATCCTGCCGATGTAGCGTATATCCCGCCAGCTGTATGTTATCCATGTCATCGTTCAGCCACGACTCGGTGAACCAGAATGCCGCCGAAACCAGAATACAGCCCTCTAACCAATTGTACTATTATGTGTGTTTTTGCGCATTATTTGTAATTTATTCTGTACATAATGTTTATGACCAAAAAGAGCTTTTGGATATCAGGACAGCGATTACACACCTCGTATTGGACAAATATACATATTTTTTTCCGAGTCGGACGCGAAGGATATCCTACAGACACCCGACAAGGCCCAAATCACTGTCATTCACATGAGAAAGAGATGGAGATATCGTGGACGTAGGTCGGGGTGCCTTGTAAGGATCCGACGGCGAGCGAGTAAACTGCATCTTACATCAACCCTATTAGCCAATGTTCAATCATTTGAAAATAAATTAGATGACCTAAGATTACGGTTATCCTACCAACGGGACAGATCAGAGGGGTTGGGTTAAATGTGGAAGATACATTTCGGTTGAATGTATTCAGTTGTGCAACTGACTAGGTCCGTTTTTAATAGTAATTACTGTAGTAATTAAAATGTCACTACACGGGTATAGAGCCACTTCATGCCATACACTGACTTCTACCTCTCTTGTCAATCAGATGAACGTGCTCTACAACATGGAGGACAGAGTGCTGTCTGAGAGGAGCCAAGCTGACACTGAAGGCTTCTCTCTGGATGTTGAGGCGTTCGATGACGAGAATGACCTGGACCATACAGTATCATGTTATCCATATGCACCAGGTAACTTATCATCTCTATGGAGATGTTTGGCTCATTTGTTTTCAATCTAATTCTTTGTCTGTTGCAAGCGTCAGTATGTGTCCCTATTTTGAGCCACTATTTTCTATTTGTCTTCACAGTTGTCATAGTCATATATGCCTCCACCATGTATAATCATGCAATCAACTTCTGTCAGGCTGTTAGAGAGCCAGAGGATAGCTCAGACAGGTAAGGTGCTGGTGGATGTGGGTGTGCTCAGTGCCATCACCCTCGCGCCACAAGCTGTTGCCATTGGAGACCTGGTCAGAAAAGTTTAGGCTTCTCCTGGGAAATCTATATTTAGATTCAGTAAGTTTACTTTACATACTGAGGGCCTCGTGTTTAGATTCAAAAGCATTGATGTTTCAGAGGTTGAATTGGGAAAATAAATAATGCATTTGCTTTGTTGGAAGATGAATTTGTCATCAATTGATTGTGTAGCTAATTCACAACTATTTGATTTGCAGTTGACCACAACAGAGGTGTGCATCAGAATCCCAATGATAAGACTTCAAAGTTTCTCATGTGCAAGATGCTGTGGTTCAAGTGTACGACTACTATGAAGTAAGTAAGTAACCTTTAGTGTCAAAGCAGACAATCACTCAGTGTTATACTACGTCTCTCTCGTAATCAATACAATATTTATCAATACAACATTTACCTTCTCAATATCTTATATGGTGTAGAGCAGTGAGGTCCTACAACTCTGATGTGATGCAAGAAATGGGCTCCTGTGCCTTCTGTGTGAGAGACTGCAGTCTGCAGGCAAGAGATCTTAATCTCTGGCTCCTCCACCACCCATACAAAGAACAGCGCCATCCACTGGTTGCAGTCACAGCTTTACTGTTATAACAATATAAACCACATATTTTAAAAGCCATTGTCAGAAGGCAAAAACTACCTGTAGAAATATATAATTATTATTCTATTAATAGATTTTATTTACTTTAGCCTGAATCAGTAAATAGGTCAAATCTGAGTAATATTTTATTAGCTATTTGATGCACTACTGGGTTGAATGTACTTTTTAAAGTTGAAAACACATCTGTCTTTTTTAATGTTGTGAGGTAACCGCATTCATTTGAACACTTTGGTATAAAAATGTAAAATAAATTGTAGGTGAATAGTAGTTACTTCTCTTATGTTAATTAATTGCCAGACTAAATAATTCATGATGTAGCTCACATTCTGGATATTTGGCAACCAAACAGATAAAAGTGATTGGCCTCCATCTCTGACCCTTTGGAAGAACAAGGCATACATGTTTAGCTGAGACAGTAAAATAGTGAATTAAGATTTATTCTGCCAGCACTGAACTTGACTCCATGCAAATGAATCACTTGCGGGTTCAATATGTTTAAACTCACAATATATTCAGAATCTATTTTAATAAAGTTGCACTGGACTCTTCTGTGAGTTTGCATAAATCTCGTCACTTTAAGCGAGATGCCACTTTAAGCTGCTCTTAGGCAAGTAGACACCATGGTTTCTATTGCTAGGGTCAGTCAACTATAAAGTCTACCACAAGGACGAAAGGAGTTTTAGAAGTGAAACTGTTTCAGGTGCTGAATGTCTAATATCACATGTGTAATGCCTCTAGACTCTAGAGTGTCTGTCATTGGGATATCTCTCATCACATCTGCAGAGTGACTCGTTTGTTGAGTTCCTGCTCTCTGGCTTTCGCCCTGTAATACCTCCCTGTACTGGACAACACCACTCTATGCGAATCAGTCTTACTCAATCATCATAAACCTTCGCAGCCTTAACTCCAGCCAGCTGAATGGGGATCGTTAGTGTACTGGCTAACTAGACTTCCTCAGCTGTTTCCATTCACAGATAGATGGACAGACAGACAAACGTGGACTCAGGGAAATTCATATTATTCTGGAAGTAAATCTGTATCTCAAATTAGTATGATATATCACTTTAGGTTACATTATGAATGGAATAGTGGTCATACAATATAATACGAAATATGGGACGTGTAGTATAATACGTCTTACCCGGTCATACAATAGCATACGAATTGGATGAAGCACCTTATCATACATCTTGGAAGACGTATAATATTATACATCTTTCTCTGAGACCAGGTTGCTTGTTGCGCTGCAACAGAGAATTATGGGTAGAATTTACGTTGGCAGTTAGGGGAACTAACGACAGGTTAGGATAATCTATTTAAAAGGTTAGGAGAAATAAAACGACAAAGGTTAGGATAATTTATGTCGCAGGTTAGGTGAAATGGGTTACGTTTAGAATAAGGGGAAGGGTTATCTAAAATGCTACAGTTGCCACCTACACGACTTGAACGTGCAACCTTTAGATTGCTACCCAGTTAGCAATGAGCAATCTGGAGGCTGGTGTCCCCCCAGAGTGGTCGCGTGCCGTGCCGGGGGTGGGGGACATTTTTTGCTATCTGGGTTGATGGTCGCGGATTATGCCCACCCGTTTTTGTCTAAAGTAACTAGACCATTAGTAGGTATCAGACGTCTTGGAGGTGCTCAGAAATACATAAAGTATGGCTCTGAGGCCAGGTCGGACAAACTGACAGACCCCAGACCAGACAGAACAGGGCCTAGCGTGGGCAGCTGCTGCAGCAGGACTGTTCCAGGATCTATGCGCCAATACCTTCCTGTTAGAATATCACAATTCTCAGCTATTGTCATTCCCACTCTCATATCATTCCCAGGATTATTCTGAGAGTGACAAACTGACAATAGCTTTGTCTAGACAAGTTCTGTCCATACATAAACATATTAAACAATTTCAAACTACAGTGCATGCAGCCCATCAATCTCTAGCCAGTTTGCTGTGTGGCCCCATATAATGGCCCCGTATCACACAACATCTATTAGAAACAGGTGTCATCACCAGAAGACATACATGTGATTGTTAGTATATACAGGAAAGACCCGATGCACAGACCCTCCTTGCTCCTCAAGAGTTGCGACCACACAGTTATCAAAGACACCCCCTTATATACACATGTTGCTCAGTCAGCTGTGACGGCACACATCTACATCGGTGGGCCTATGGGAACGTAAACAATGCATAGGAGGAGGGAACACACACGCCTAAGCACATTTAAGCTGTTCCGGACGACTGTGTGATCACGCTCTCCTTAGCCGATGTGAGCAAGACCTTTTTAAATAGGTAAACATTCACAAAGCTGCGTGGCCAGACAAATTACCAGGACGTGTACTCAAAGCATGCGCGGACCAACTGGCAAGTGTCTTCACTGACATTTTCAACCTTTTGAAAGGCTGGTCATGGCTCACATCAACACCATTATCCCGGAAACCCTAGACCCACTCCAATTCGCATACCGCCCTAACAGATCCACAGATGACGCAATCTCAATCGCACTCCATACTGCCCTTTACCACCTGGACAAAAGGAACACCTATGTGAGAATGTTGTTCATTGACTACAGCTCAGCGTTCAACACCGTAGTGCTCGAAAGCTCATCACTAAGCTAAGGATCCTGAGACTGAACACCTCCCTCTGCAACTGGATCCTGGACTTCCTGACGGGCCACCCCCAGGTGGTAAGGGTAGGCAACAACACATCTGCCACGCTGATCCTCAACACTGGGGGCCCCTCAGGGGTGCGTGCTTATTCCCCTCCTGTACTCCCTGTTCACCCACGACTGCGTGGCCAAGCACCATCATTAAGCACTGTCTCTATGCACACTCACAGAGCCCTACACACACACACACACACTGTCACTCCAACAAACACAAACACTCACTCCATCATTTTCTCACTCACATATATCCACATACATTTGTACTGACTCTACACACCCGCACACCCACTCACATACAAGCTACTGCTGCTCTGTTTATCTTATATCCTGTGCCTAGTCCCCTTAACCCTATACATAGCTACCTCCATCACTCCAGTATCCCTGCACATGTAAATTTGGCAATATTTCCTGTGTATAGTATGCTTACCTACCTACTTACTTACTTACTTACTTAATTGTGTATTTCTTATTCTTATTTCTTGTGTTTTTTTTCTTCTATTTATACATTTGTATTGATTATTTCATTGTTGGGTTTTGAGTTTGCAAGAAAGGCATTTTACTGTACTTGTCCATGTGACATTAACACTTGAAACTGAAACAGGCGGGAGTACCTTTTGTCTGCCAGTAGATGGCAGGCTTGTTATCATCTTGCTCTCAGTTCCAAACGTTGGGTTGTAATCTCAAGCAACGGGAAACTATGATACAATCTCAGACTACAGGAAATAGTTTTGGCCTATATACATATTCATGCTTATTATGAATACTGTGTGATGACAAATGTATGTGTGAGTACTTATCATTATAAACATAATTATGGAGGGGTCATTGTAAACCTAGCCTTAGAGGGCGCTACAGTTTCCTTTGGGGATTTCCGTTGCAGTTGGTTGACGAATGGAGATGTATATCTGTCTAAGGTACATCTGTATGATGTCCCCCCAAAAATCATTTAGTCTAAAGACAGGTTTGCAAGGAACCACCATTGTCAAAACACTATCAGGTCATGACAAATGACTGACCAATGACACATGCCAACAAACTAGCCAGCAATGGTCATACCATGATCCTGACATCAGGTCTATGACATCTGTTATGTCACAAAGGTAACAAAGTATTGGTCTCTATGAGGGTTTGAGTAAGGTGTTATCAGCTGGAGATGAATGGCACCATGAATCTTCCCTGACAGGTTCACAGTGTCTGAGGTAATGTAGCTTTGCTATTTTGACCAGAATGCAGCCCTAAGGGAGCGGCTCTCTGTAGGTCTTCTCCCCACAAGTTATACAACTGTCCGATATGAGCACAGGAGTCTGGACAGACAGACCACTCAGTAAGTGGTTATGTGACTTTTAAAACAGCTGAGAAATTCGAACACCTTTATGCATCAAAGGAGAGATGGGTATCTGGGATGCGTCATTGTCCTAAGTGTGCTGTGAAGTAGTGAGGATGTCAATTGTCAAATACACTGAACAAAAATATAAACGCAACATGTTAAGTGTTGGTCCCATGTTTCATGAGCTGAAATAAATGATCCCAGAAATGTTCCATATGCACAAAAAGGTTATTTCTATCATTTTGTGTACAGATTTGGTTACATCCCTGTTAGTGAGCATTTCTCCTTTGCCTAAATAATCCATCCACCTGACAGGTGTGGCATATCAATA